TACTGGTTTATACTGGGAGGGATTGGGAGGGGTTTGGGGGGGACTGGGATGGACTGGGAGGGACTGGGAGGGACTGGGATGGACTGGGAGGGGTTTGGGGGCGACTGGAAGGGACTGGGAGGAACTGGGAGGGAACTGGGAGGGACTGGGAGGGAACTGGGAGGGACTGGGAGGGACTGGGAGGGAACTGGGAGGGGATTTGGGGTTACTGGTTTATACTGGGAGGGACTGGGAGGGTTTTGGGGGGGACTGGGATGGACTAAGAGGTAACTGGGAGGGACTGGGAGGGACTGGGAGGGGTCTGGGGGGGACTGGGAGGGGATTTGGGGTCACTGGTTTATACTGGGCGGGGTTTGGGAGGGTTTTGGTGTTACTGGTTTATACTGGGAGGGACTGGGATGGCATTTCGGGGGGACTGGGAGGGACTGGAATCAAACTGGGATAAACTGGGAGGGGACTGGGAGGGACTGGGAGGGGTTTGGGGTCACTGGTTTGTACTGGGAGGGACTGGGAGGAGGAACTGGGGGTCCTGAACTGGTTTATACTGGTTTAAACTGGCTCTTACCAATTTTATACAGCTTTTAACTGGTTTATACTGGTTTAAACTGGTTTGTACCAGTTTTTGACTGGTTTAAACTGGTTTTCACTTTTTTCTAACTGGTTTAAACTGGTTTATACTGGTTTGTACCAATTTTATACTGATTTAAACTGGTTTTTGACTGGTTTAAACTGGTTTTTTACCGGTTTGAACTGGTTTTTGCCGGTTTTCAGTCTATGACGTCACCACGGGGCGGGCCCTGCGCCGGCTGACCAATCACGGCGCCTGCGTGCGTGACGTCAGCTGGAGCCCCGAGGGGGCGTGGCTCGCCAGCGCATCGGTGGGCGGGGCCTCATTTGAATAACGGGGCTCATTTGAATAATGGGCGGGGCTTAAACGGGGAAGGGGCGGGGTTTGATGGGGAAAGGGGCGGGGCTTAATTTTAATAATGGGCGGGGTTGTTTTAAAAGAGGCGGGGTTTAACTAGGGAAGTGGGCGTGGTTTAATTTTAATAATGGGTGGGGCTAAAATTCAGAATATGAGATTATAAAATGAAAAAGGGGCGGGGCTTAATTAAAGAAATGGGCGGGGCTTAATTTTAATAATGGGCGTGGTTAGAATGGGAAAGGGGCGGTGCTTAATTAAAGAAATGGGCGGGGCTTTATTTTAATAAGGGGCGTGTTTTAAATTTAAAATTACTGAATTTTAATTAGTAAAAGAGGCGTGGCTAAACCCAAAATGGGCGGGGTTTAAATGAGGAAATGGGCGTGGTTTAATATTAAAAGGGGCGTGGCTAAAAGGTAAAGGGGGTGATGATTTGAATATATTAAAAGCCTGAATTTTAATAAGGAAAAGGGGCGTGGCTAAACACAAAGTGGGCGTGGTTTGAATTATGAAAGGGGCGTGGTTTAATATTAAAATGGGCGTGGCTAAAAGGTAAAAGGGGCGTGATTTGAATACATAAAACAATTGAATTTTAATTAGGCAAATGGGCGTGGCTAAACACAAAATGGGCGTGGTTTGAATTAGGAAAGGGGCGTGGTTTAATATTAAAATATGCGTGGCTAAAAGGTAAAAGAGGCGTGATTTGAATACATAAAACAACTGAATTTTAATTAGGAAAAGGGGCGTGGCCAAACACAAAATGGGCGGGTTTAAACTAGGAAAGGGGCGTGGTTTAATATTAAAAGGGGCGTGGCTAAAAGGTAAAAGGGGCATGATTTGACTACATAAAACAATTGAATTTTAATTAGGCAAATGGGCGTAGCTAAACACAAAATGGGCGTGGTTTAAACGAGGAAAGGGGCGTGGTTTAATATTAAAAGGGGCGTGGCTAAGAGGTAAAAGGGGCGTGATTTGAATACATAAAACGACTGAATTTTAATGAGGAAAAGGGGCGTGGCCAAACACAAAAGGGGCGGGGTTTGAATGTGAGGGGGCGTGGTCAGAGCCCCAAGGGGCGTGGCCTGACCAAGCCCCGCCCCTCAGTGGGACGGCACCGTGCGGCTCTGGACCTATCGCGACGCAGAGGAGGAGGAGGGGGCGGAGCTTCGGACGGAGGGGGCGTGGCCTCAGCGGGAGAAGGGGCGTGGCTTGGAATAAACCGCGAGGACGTGGCCCCGCCCACTTTTGTCTTTTTTGGGTTGAAATTTGGGGGTTTTGGGG